CTCCGATGCAAGCTGATGGTTATGGCTTAAAAACACCCACAGAACCACATTATCCGCGCATTTCGTCGAAGCAAAGATGAGACCCAGAGGTTCTCAATCCAGTGGCTGACTCACTCCGAATTTGAGTAGGGCAACAAAACTGGATCCGGCCCAGGACTGAACACCATCCTCCATCTGGCCCAGGCAGCAATTTATCATCCGCATCTTATGACCACAGGTTGAGGTTCAATGGAGTGGTAAACCAATAGCTTGGTTTTATTGCTTGGTTCTTCCTGCAGCACAACAAATGCAGGCAGTGCACGCATCAATACATACAAGGCTCCAATCAACTTATCCATCTCCTGCTCCACCCTAGCATCACTTGTAAACAAGACACCATGGTACTTGACCTTTGACCTCACACCTGGAGTGAGCAGTCCAGCTTTCTTTAATCGAAGACCATGGTCCAGCTCCTCTGAGTCAGCAAGCTCGAAGTTTAAAACTGTTATTATTTAGATTAATCAAAAAGTTTCTTAGAACTAAAAAAAAAAAGTACAGTTTCAAAAGAACATAAATTATGCACTCAATTTGTATCTACAAAGACGTATGCGATGTGAAATGATGACTGCCAGGCATCTTTGATTTGATGGACCTTAGTCGTCCCTTCAGACGAGAAAAGCAGCCAGTATCAGTCCATATCGATGCAAGTCTTTGCAGCTCCAGCTTCTTGCTGCAAGATGACTGAATGTAAATGCCCTCTAATTGGACAGCAGGCGATATAGAGACAGATAAAACACAGAACAAGATTTCAGTCAGCATCCCATTCAGGATGGGATCAATACCTATCTGGTAACAGGGATTGTCAAATTAAATTTAAGTTGTTAGAAATGATTACTAGTAGTCAGATGAAATGGCTCGGCTCCGTGATGGGTGGGGGTGAAATTAGGCGTGGTGGGGAGTGAGTCACCCGAGGCACGGGCGATCGACGCCACTAAGGCAAAAGGGATCAATACAGCACAGAGCTTTGATATTCCTTCATGATAGGTCTTTGTGTTTTTTTTTTTGTTTTTTTTTTTTGGGGGGGGGGGAGGCTACAGCACGCTAGAGCAAAGATAAAAACCTATTCTAAACACACACACACACACACACACACACACGCACACACACGCACACACACACACACACACACACACACATATATATATCCAGTCACACACCACATAGACTGAGGTGAACAGAAGGCCACTAACTATTCAGGCAAACTCAACCAAAGCACTCAGCCAAGCACGTACAGCAAAACACAGACTCAGCAGGAACTTTTAATCTTCTTCAGCTTCAATATGTCTCATGTCTTCAGACTGAGACCCAGGACGTCTGGGCAAAATCACCTCTGAACGACCCTCCCCTCCCTCTCTCTGTTTAAAAAAAAAAAAAAATAAACAAATCCTTTTCTGTGCCATGCTATCTATTCAGAGCTGCGTTTCCTCAGCTGCCTCTTTTCTTCAGCAATGACAATTTTGTAACATGGCTGAGATGGGATTTCTATCCGTTACTGTCTATTAATAGCTGAAGCAGTTTGTAATTGTGTCATCACTGGTTTTACTAATTTCTAGGAGCAGCTGCCAGAATGCAGCAATCTGTGGCAAATTGTTAGTGATGTTTGAAGAAAGTCACCCAATTCCTGTCCAATCTCATGAGAAAATCATTTCTCTGTTATCTGCCAGTTTGAGATTTTGTTGGGGCCCTTGGTGATTATTTAGTCCTTATGATGCTTTTGGTAAAAAGCAACTTAATATGGATACCAAAAATAAACAGGTTTTGTGAAATAACGCTGTTTAACATCATAACTGTTACTGCTGCCAATTAGAAATACTGTATTTCAATGAGCTGCAAGCAACAGGCAAGCAAACAACTCAGGTATTGACCTCCAGTCTCGGTCTACTCTTTATTTCATGTTGTCAACAGATTTTAAGGAGATGGTTCATCTTGTTTCTCATAAAAGAGCAATTAAAGCCCTAAAAGAGGTTTAATTATGCACAACTATTAGCCGTTGTCTACCCTGTATCCTTTCTACTGCATAAAAGTCGCAGTAGCCTCTCAATCAGCTAATAAAGAAAAAAAAAAAAAACAGGCCAAAGTTACATTTGAGATTCCCAAACTGGATCACATTTATCAGTTTTCTTCCAAAATACAACAATTACAGAACAATTAAAGATGCTGATTTTATCCAGAATCAATTTTCCATCTCCCTGGGTGTAATTCATTAGTATATACATATTTTTCAATTAAACCCACACTGAGCAAGAACAGCATGACTTACAGGTACGGAATAGCTTCATTATAATTACATGGGAAAATAAGAGCTGCATTATGAGCTAAAGGGCTCAGATTACTCCCAGTGAAATCCTAAAATAAGATGCTAATGTTGCTTCTTGGGAAAATATTTGTTCTATTTTGCTTTTGTTTGCATTATCTGTTATTATCATTGTTTGTCAATTATCAAACTAGAAATGGCAGCAATTTTCATCAGATCTGCTCCACATAGAATGTCCCATGAATGTTGTTTTTACATAAAACTACTTAGATATCTAAACATAAGTACATATACATTTAGAATAACAAAATTACTGATAAATATGAGTGCAATGGTAAATGCATTTGAATGAAAGATTTGTTGTACGGGTCTTTGGGTTTGGGAGAAGGCTTGTACTAAATATCGCATAAGACCCATTGACATGCAAAAACATCGATATGCAGAACTAAACAATCCACAAGCAGCTTAGAAAAGGTAACTAATTAAGGAAAACCACAGCAAAAAGAGTAGAGACAAAAAAAAAACACCATCTAAAGGTAAGCTTCTTTTAGGTTATAGCAAGTAATATTGTGACCTCCACCAGATAATTGACACATATTCATTCTGCATATCTCCAGAAACATTGTTGTGGAAAATGCTTTTTTATGAACCTGTGAGCCGACATCATGTTTGCACTGGATGGTAACCTATTAAAGAAATCGAAAATTATTTACACAAGTAAGCAAGTCAGGAGGCGATGCACCACTAATGCTTGTCTATGTTTATGCTTTTGCATGTGGTAGGCTCTTTTATCCAAAGCCACGTACAAATGAGGATATAAAAATGCAATGAACATTAAAGGTAAACTACTGAGAATGAAACCCACTAGTCAGGTTCTGTCAGTGGTGACAGCATAGAAATAGAGTGGAGGCGTAGAAGAAAATTTATGGGGCGTTCAGGGAAGGTGCTATACGTAGGATGTTCTTCCCATGTGAAACTTCTACTGAAAGGTAAGGAAGTAAAGCAGCACACTAAAACTATAGTAGCAGTTTATTTCAACTCCATTTTATTTATGTTTTTTTTTTTTTTTTTTTTTTTTACAAAACCTAACTTTTCTTTTAGGCAGTTACTCTGAAGGGAAATGCTTATCCGTTCTTGTATCGGTAAGTGTCCAAGACAGGAAGATCATTGGTAGTGCACAGCCCTCTACCTCTATTTTCTGTGTAAATATAAATAACCGCCCAGGCCAACCTGTCTATGGTTTACCGGTACATAAAATAGCATTTGCTTTAAGTGCTGTGACATTTTTGAGACTGGTGTTGTTTTAAGATGATACAAGTCCTGTTTGTGCTTGAACTCTGTTCAATTACCCATGAGCGTCAGCTTCTAGGGCAAACCAGCCTTAATATATATAGATATTAACCGAAGACGTTTGTAGAGTTTTATACATCAACTGATACATTATAACCATTTAACCAGTAATCTCACTTCAAAAATCCCAAACCTGCTTAGGAACGCTAAAGTTTCTCAGTCAAAACCAGAAATGATGAAAGAGAGATGGACTGAACAAAGCTTTGGCTTGGCATTTCTCAACAGCTCTCAGGTATGTTTACCTGTTTACCTGTTTAGTGTTTGTGCTATACACTAAGTAGTAGTCATATTGAATTAAGTATTGACATTCTTTCGGGAGTTGCTGGTATACAACTCCCGGTATGGTATGTATGGTATACATACCAGCAACTGAAGGAAATCTGTTAATGGCTTAAATATATGTGGCTCTGGTGCCATTATTCTGGAAAACCACAAAAATTAACCACTGTTTGCTTTTAAAAATCTGTACTTTAAAGTATATGGCATTCCTTAATTCACTAATGTTATTCAAATCCTCTTATAGCAGCTGACTTGTCTCGCTGTTGTGTTGTCTGCTGTCTTGCTGCAATATCTCACCTCCCACGAGACTTCAAGGTGCATGTTTTTCTTCAGGGAGCTTCAGTAGAAATCTTTTTTTCCATAATGTTGTGAGACACTTACAGTAAAATCTGTGCCTGTCATATTCAAACAAAAGCGGTTTGCTGTGAAGTACAGTCCTTTGTTACTACACTGCAGCCGTTTAGCAGATGTTATGGTGTGTTCATTAAACGTGAGTCAGAATGACATTGTTTTTATCGTCTTACAAACTTTTTAATCTACTTTTTTCTAAAAGAGATATTTTTCAATAATGTCTCACTGTCACAAGAATTTATCTGTTAATGTAAAAGAGAAAGTTTTGCATCATGGCAGTCTGCATCTGTTACTGACAGAGCTCCTATAGATGTTTAGCGACTGACAGAGGATGAGAAGAAAAGTTAAAAATTGTTATGAATTTGGACAACCCTGTCCTCTGCAACACCATGTCCAAAGAGTCAAGTTTCTCTCCTACAACAAGACTGGCCTTCCTAACGATCTTGTTGATCTTGTTAACCCTCAGGCTGCTACCCCAGCTTACAACAGCGAACATTATGGTGCTAGCCACTGCAGATTCATAGAACATCATCAGCAACTTCTAGCTTGGATAGCTGTGCTCTGCTATCCATGCTAGTCACGAATATCAAATGCTAATTGGTATAATTCTATACATCTATCCAATCACTTCCTATACCTGCCTTTATGGGGAAGGGCCCACAAGCCAGTATTCAAAAAGCAAAGTCAGTAATCAGATGTAAATACAGCAAAAACAAAAAAAACTTACCCAGTTTTGGCAAAGTTGGTCCAGTAGGTCATCACGACAGCACTGAGCATGACATCATTCTTGGAGAAGTTACAGGGAAAAAGATCGGTGGGACCAATCATAGGAATTCCAAAGACATACGGCACTTCGTCCCCGTGGGCCGCGTCTGACCACGCAGGCTTCATAAGACTCTGGCAGTGGTGGTAGAAGGCGTAGAAGTAGGTGGGTGAGCCGTAGCGAGCGTGGAGATCAGCAGTCACCACCGACGGCTCCACCCACTGGTGGTCGGTGAAGAGAGCCACCAGCGTTTTTCGCCTAGTCTCCGGATTGTCTCTGTCTGCCCAGTCCGTGTACATGAACTTAATGGTCTCCCTCAGAGTGTCCTTTCCGTCTGGGTATCCGTACAAGCTGTCCACAAAATCCGACACGGAGAAGTCAAAGTCGTTTCCAGACACACCGTCCTCCGAATCCACCACGTTCTCCACAAACCGCAGGCCTTCGCCCTGATTCACCCCCAGCATGATGTCGTAGTTGAGAAACTCGCCCTGCTCCATTAGAATCTCAGGGTCATCTGGAATAACATCCCCATCGATGACGGGTCCAAAGGCCACGTGGTACCTGGCAGGCTGGATGTCCTGCTCCACCAGCTCCCTGGAGCTCTTCTTCCGTAGGCAGTCCACCATGTCTGAGGTGTCGAGGACGTTGCAGCCCACCTTCTCTGCCAGGAGACGGGTGTACTTGACCGGCTGGTAGTTCACGGCCCAGCTGGAGAGTGCGGACCCGCTCTGAATGATAGCTCTGTGGAACAGACCTGGACAAGGGCACAGACAGAAGAGATAGGAGGATGTTTAATGTGTCATTATTAAGGATGATGATTCAGTTATGCACTGCATTACATGAGAGTTGTTAATTTTGTTGCTGCCATGATCAAAAGCGGGCTGTCAGCCACACTGCAGATAAGAATAACAAAGGCCAGACAGAGCAAGTCCTTGTTGCCACACAGAACAATAATGGAATCATTGTTGTAATAATAAATGTGCAGATGGCCTGGCCTCACAGACAGAAGGAAGATACAGCAATCTGTCTGTCCTGCTCTCTTCCTCCTTTCATTGTCGCATGCTCTTTTGGAAATGCTAGCAAACGCTGCTAGTGCTAATGGATGCATTTATCACCGTGGAATGACTCAGTTCACGTTTGACCAGTCTATATATCAGTACATGTTGAAATTGTTCTCTATGTGTTTTCAGAAAAAAGAATATGCGAGTTACAAGTCTAAAATTGTGCTTTAATGAATCTCTGTTAAGCACAGAATAATGTAAGAAAGATCTCCATCCATCCATCCATTTTCTGAACACCCTTGTCCCTCAGTGGGGTCGGGAGGGGTGCTGGTGCCTATCTCCAGCTAACGTTCCGGGCGAGAGGCGGGGTACATCCTGGACAGGTCGCCAGTCTGTCGCAGGTAAGAAAGATCTGATTTGTCTAAATATGTAGAATTCAGAGCTAGTATCCTATGCTGCAGTCTACATTAAAACAAATAAATAAATAAAAGCACCAAGAAAACAGCTTCTTAATCTTGCACACTCACCAGAGTCACAATATTGCCTTAGTGTACTCAATGTGTACTTGCAAATAAGCAACACATAGTATATTCAATATGCGACTGTCAGGAAGGTTTTTCTTTCTTTTTGCCTTGTGGTGTTCCCCCTCTGGTCTGCCATCCTGTGCAGACACCAATGTTGGAAAAATCAACAATGCACTGTGTGAATTCCCAGTTTTAAAGCAAGTCTGGAGCACCCACACTGCTTAAGTACTGACTACAGTCAACAACATTTAGGCTGTTGTTCAAAACTTTTCACGTTCTGATTGTTTATTTACCTCCATTAAAAACCCTGCTGTGCAACCTGTTTTTTTTATTATAGCCTAATAACATTACCTTAAAAGTGTCTTTAATGATGTAATTTTGGGCTTTGTAAGGCAAACTTTTAAAAACAGGAACACACTTGTAATTTTCTCATTCATCAGCGGTGTAAGGGCTTATTACACAAAATGTTCAACTTTTGAGTAAAGGGTTTGCTGTAGTGTCGGTATAAAAATCTGTTAAAACAAACAGCTGCATGTTGAACGCTGGCAGAGAGCGAGAAATCCATTTCATGAATTTTGATACTTGCTATTTTTTTCCTTCATCTACTCTGACCAAAGCATCTTAATTGAAAACTCTCACCTTTTTGGTCTGTAAACATGTAAACTAACAGCCTATTTGTTGTTTCAATAGCAAAAGGTCAAATATGGGTTAGTAACATATGTTTCAGTGTTATGATGCAAATAATACTTAAAATCTTTTTTTTACATTTTGCACTGGATTCAAAATTACTGAGCAAATAAGGAGTCAGTGCCATATTTTTCTTTTGCTGTCAGTGTTTATTACGTGGTTTGCAGAGTGTCCAACAGGCAGAACTTAACATGTGAACTACACCCCGCACTCAAACCTACTAAACCCTTTATGGTTGAATCTAAAAACAAGATTTAAAACACAAAAAATAAAAGCAACATTTTAAACCAGAAAACTGTAGTATAATTTGCTCCAAGGTTAAAGGGATTAAATATGAGACATCAGCCTACATTCTATTTTTAAACATATTTCCACAGCATGACAACGGAGATTTAATTGAGTGTTTTTGGATAATGATAAACGGGGAGTTAAAAAGTTGTCTGTTAGCTGGCAAGAAGTGCAACTTAATCAGATGCAATGGACATTTACTGATTCAACACATATACCAGATTGAAAAAAAACCCCAGAACATTCTTTTTTCAATAACAACACAATTTACAAGTTTATTATGCAAGATTGGTTTTGTTTATTACCAATATCATTGTTAATGAACACATGTTGTGACATTATTCATAATCTTGGCATGTTTGCAAACTTGCTTCATAGGTCTTATTACCCTTTTTTGTCCATATACATGGCAGAGATGAAGATTTAAACAGTACCGTTATGTCCTAAGCTACAGGGAGAGCCCAGCTGTATAAAAAAACCTTCTTGGGGACTGTTTTCTCTCTAATGATGGTTTGGGTTTTTCCTTGCAATGGCAATGCATTTTTCAGGGTAGCATAAATTGGATGAACCTCACTGTAACTAAAGACACATTCTGCATTTTGAGGTCATAACACACACACACACACACGCAAACAATCCCACTCAAGCACATCCTGACGTGCACAGAGTGGCTCTGCAAGGGATACACTTTACATCACTTTTTTTTTATTTTGTGTTTTTAACCTGAAAGATTTTAAATTCTGCAGAACCTGGTGGGTGGGTTTCTATAAATAAACTGACTCTTACTCACTACACTTGCAGTAAGAACTGAACTGCACCTTTTCATCTGGTTATGCAGACTGCTGGCACACAATGAAAAGCCAAACTGAAACAGAAAGCTAGGTTCTATTGGCTCTATGTGGCAGAAATATATACATGTTGAACTACAAAGAACTTTTATTATGCGACTCTCCATGTTGGTTTTGTGCTCCTGAGTGGGTGGGTTTTGTAGAAAAACCATGGCTCTGAAATCTACAGCTCAATGCAGTCCTCTCGTGATTAAAATTACAGTGCCTTGCATAAGTGCTCACATTACGTCGCATTTTGTTGGATTACAATCACAAATTTCAAGGTATTTCAACTGAGTTTTATGCGATAAACAAGGTCAAACATAATTGTTAAATGGGATAAAAATGAAACAGAGCTTTCAATTCTTTTAACAATTCTTTATCCAATGTCATGAAGTGGTATGGTTGGTGGTGGTGAGGAGAGACGCAGAGAACCCAGGTATGGTGAAGATGATGAAATTTAATGAAGATCTCACAGTCCAGGACAGGCAGCACGTTAGCACACAGCTAATACCGGTAGCGACTGACAAAGACTGACACATGAAACCTCAGGACTATACAGTTCTACTGAGGAAACTGCGAACTGACGTAGGACACGAAGAATGAGGAATGACGCTAACAACGACGAGGATCTGACAAGAGACGGAGACTACAGGTGGACTTAAATACACACGGGGTAATCAAGGGGACGAGACACACCTGGGAGACAAACGGGGAGGACAGGACAGAGACTCACAGGGAACAGCACTACACAGAAAAACTCAAAAATAAACACACAAACACAGATCGTGACATCCAATGCCCCCAATTAAATCCCAGTGCAACCAGCAGCCTTTAGAAATCTCCTAATAGGGTTTATCTGTGCGTGATTTAATCTCAGTATAAATGCAGGTGTTCTGCGAAGGCCTTAGAGGTTTGCCAGAGAACATCAGTGAAGTGTATCATGAATACCAAGAAACACATTACGAGTTTTGTATACAATCTTGAAAAGGTGCGTTTTAGTGTTCAGATGGGATGCACTCGTATATCTGGCAACTTGAAATCCACTCGCATCTTTCTTCTTGATATGCTTAACTGGATTATTAAGCATGATTTTAATGACTTCAGACAAAATTAAACAAGTCATGAAAAAAACACTCCATCCGTAAGACAAATGGAAAATATTTGATTAGGTGGCGAACAATTAGCATTCAAACATGCCGGGGAATTTTCTCTGTTTGTGATATTTCACTCTCAGTGTGGGTGGGCACGTTGAGATCTTTGTGTTTAGGAGGTAAACAGCTGATTTAAGTGCTCAATACATCACTTTGGTAGACCTAATCAGAGGCGGCGGGGGGCTTATTTCATCTCGGCGAAGACGAAGTGTTTATTTACATATCTATTTACAGATATTTGCTTACAAAGAGTAAGAAGGATTATTGTGTCTGAGTTAGCAAAGTGTGCTCAGTGAGTATGATCGTGTGTTTTTCAAGAAATATTTTTAGGTTAGAATATGACTTCACTGAATATGACTACAGATCCACGAGTAAACATAATATCTTTTTTTTTTCACCGATCCCCAAAGTGAAGGATTATTAGATTTCTGCATCATGCGTTTCTTTCTTTACGGATGAGACCATTAGCCTTCTGTGTCCTGCCCCGAAAGTGCCCTTCAAGCTGTCCCGTGGTTGCGCATCTCAGCAGGATGGCGGCCCTGTACCACGTCCCAGAGAGCGGAAGCAGATGTCGGGGGTTTCACCCACTTGAAAGCATTAGAGGGGGCAGACCTAAGATGAAAGATGGACGCTTGGAGGCAGAGCAGGGGGGAGCAAGGGGTTTTAATCCTGCCATCCCTCCCATCCCTTCCCCTTTTCCCCTCCCTCTCTCCTCCCAGGGCTCTTTACTGGTATTGCCTCTCTTTGCATTTCAACTCATATTGCGAGGGGTGATGGGGGGGCAAACAGAGGCAGTCGTAGATTCGGGAAGCCAGTCCTGAATCCAAATGTCTGCGAGCGATGCCACAACTACTTCTAGACCGTCTTTGATCAGAAGTTGCTGTAGGAAAACCGCTTCCCGCTGAGAAGCTCCTGTTCCTGCGATTGCCAAGGCGATTTGACAAACATACGAATATCAAATCTGTTTTTGCCGCAGCTCGAAGAGAGATGCGTCCGTGCGACTTGGCCCATCCCATAGCTACCTGCACCCACAAACCACCAGATGGTCGGCTGAAGGAGGAAGCTGCAGCCAGGGTGACACCGCTAGATTTATTTCCGCTCCGGCTGATGAAAGGCCAGGAGAGTGGCTGGGCTTTTACTATTGTTTGTCAAGAAACATATAAATCCAGCACACATGAGCTGTCAGTGCACCGATAAATATGTATTAGAACTGTGTGTGATGAGCCCCACGGTGATAGGAAGCTCACTGGGGAAGGTCAGAGAGAGAGTGGGG